TTAAACTTCGACCTCCCATCGGAAGCGTAAGGAAAACCTCAGGAGGCGAGGTGTGGAACACTCGAGGAACACCGAGCCCCTCCCCAACGCAAAGGGTTCCTTCTTCAACGCCCTGGCTGCAGGGTCACCTCCCCCCTCTGCGCGCGGCCGGCCTGCGGGCAGTCGGGCCCGCCCGCTGCTCCTCGAGCCGCTCCGCGGGGCAGGCGCGCGGCGCCGTCCCGCAGGGTATTGGGGGCCACATGCGATCCCCCTCCCCCCCCTGCCCCCCCACGATTCCTGAGGGGGAGGGGGGGCTTCACTTCGCTCGGAGAGCTCCCGAGCGAAGTGAACCCCACCCACCACTCCCCACAGAAATGGCGGGGGGTAAGGGGTAGGGTTCGCATGTGGGCCCCCTGGCAGGGGCCCTCCCGCGCCCGCCACCCTGCACGCTCGCCGGGGGGGAAGTGGGCCCTGAGGGAAGAAGCGGGCCCCGGACCACATGGCGCCGCCCCCCAAGAAGCGTCCAAGCGTGGCCCTACGCAAGAGCGACCGTTGGGAGACGGGTCCTGGGGGGAGCGGGTCCCGGACCATGTGGTGCCTTCCCCAACAAACGGCACACGGCTGCGCGCAAGAGTGGCCCTAGGCAAGAGTGGCCTTTGGGAAACGGGTCCTGAGGGAAACGGGTCCTGGACCATGTTACCTTCCCCATCGGCTACACGCAAAAGTGACCCTGGCCAAGAGGGACCGTTGGTGCGCGGGCTAAGGGGGCGCAAGGTGGCCAAGTCCAAGCGCGCAAGCAGCGGCTGAAGCATCGCGCTCAGCAATCGGTGGGGACCTAAGGTCACTGCAGAGAAGGGTCTTTCTTACGTGCAGTCGACCCAAGAGAAATTCTTCATCCTACATCGTTCTCTGACGGTCCCAGTGCCCGTGGAGGGCCCCGAGAACCCGAAAACGGTGCCAAAAACCTCAGTGCCCGTTTGCCTCAGGACCCGTTGCTCCATGGAGAGAGGAGACGGAGGCGGAGGCGGAGGAGAAGGAGGAGGGGGAGGAGGAAGAGGAGGAGGAGGAGGAGGAGGAGGAGGAGGACGAGGAGGAGGAGGAAGAGGGGGAGAGGGAGGGGGAGGCGGAGACGGAGGGGAGACGGAGGAGGAGGAGGAGGAGGAGCAGGAGGAAGAGGAGGCGGGGGAGGAGAAGGAGGAGGAGGAGGAGGAAAGAGGGACGGGAGGAGGAGGAGACGGAGGAGGAGCAGGAGGAGGAGGTGAGGGGGAGGAGGAGGAGGTGGAGGGGAGGAGGAGAGGAGGGAAGGAGGAGGAGGAGGAGGAGGAGGAGGTAGGAGGAGGCAGGGGGGGAGGTGGAGGGGAGGAGGAGGAGAGGAGAGGAAGATGAGGAGAAGTGGAGATGGAAGGAGGATGAGGGGGGAGGTGGAGACTCTGTGTCCGAGGCTCGCGGCCGGCCAGCCGCCGGTGCGCGGCCTCGCAGCTCTCGGACCGGAAGAAGCAGTTGTCCGGCTTCACGTCCCTGGGAGCGCGCGGGCGCGCGGGGGCCACGGCGGCCCTCTGCCCCTGGGGGGGAGGAGATAGGAACAATCCTCCTCCTTCCTCCTCCTATCCTCCTCCTTCCTCCTCCTCCTCCTCCTCCTCCTCCTCTCCTCCTCCTCCTCCTCCTACCTCCCTCCTTTCTTGTTTTCTCTGTCCTCCTCTCCTCCTCCTCCTCCCTTCCTCCTCCTCCTCCTCCTCCTCCTCCTCCTCCTCCTCCTCCTCCTCCTCCTCCTCCTCCTCCTCCTCCAGGGAAAGGCGGCACCAACACCACGAGGGCCAGGAGATGCGAGGAGGCAAGGGGGTTCTCCCTGGCGGCGTGGTCCACCCCTCTCGCTCGAGGCATCCCCAGCCTCCAGCTCGGGGGGGGCATCGTGGACCTCCTGCCTGGAGGTGGGCCCACTGGTGGTGTTAGTATCGCTTCTCCTCCCTCCGAACAAAAAGACGGGGAATCGGCGGATCAAACGCAAGAACGACCCTGGGCAAAAGTTACCGTAAGTGCGCGGGGATGGTCGGGGATCTCTTTTTTGTGCGTGGGAGGGTGCTGCCCCTGCGACCGAAGACGAGGCGCACCCGCCGGCGAAGCAGTGCAGGACGGAGCGAGACGATTGCTGACAGGATCGACGCGCCCTGCAGTGAGCCTTTTTGCCCACCTGATCTTTCCATGCCGCACGCCCCGCCGCAGCGTGCCCGGCGGCAGGGTGGCAGGGCTTGGCTCTCGGTGCGGCAGGAGTCTCTGACATCCGACGTAAGTGCGCGGCTCAACGGGACGCGGGGTGGCCAAACCCGGGCGCGCGGGCCGCTGCCACCGCGGCGCGCTCCAGCGATCGGGGGACCCCACTGGGCCCGCTCGCTTTTGCGAGAGGTCACTCTCACGTCTATAGTCGAGGGAATGGGGACGACGAAGAGCGAGGATGAACGACGGCGACGACGACGACGACGACGAGCGAGTATTAGGAAACCACTCTGAATCTCGCACAAGAAAGCGGATCCTGGTGTATACGCGATCCTGGTGTTCTTCGTTGTTTCCCCAGCAAAACGGAGAAAAAGAGTATACACCACACCACCCCGACGTCGCCCCCGACCCTCAAGAAAGTGCTGGGATTGAAAAAACACCCGCCACTGGTAATGTATATGCTCCAATTTCCGAGACTACTCGTCCTGTGGAGGGACGCGCCCGACTTACGACGAGAGGGGGCGCAGCGCAGGCCGGGACGAGAGTAGGAACATGGGAAACCGACACCAACACCACCAGGGACCACCCGCGGGAGGAGCCAGGGAGGGGTCCCCCTGGTGGTGCGGTCCCCCCTCTCGCTTGAGACAACCCCTATCCCCAGCTCGGGGAGGCACCGTGAACCCCTCGCTGGAGGTGGCCCCCTGGTGGTGTTGGTATCGCTCCTCCCTCCCCCCAGAGAGGCGCAGGCGCGGGCGACGCCGCCTCCGCAAGAGAAGCGGGGGTGGCCAGAGGGGGGCAGCGAGGGCCCGGGGGCGGAGGCCGAGGACCGGCAGGGGGAGGAGGGCTGCAGGGCCAAGAAGAAAAGGAGGAGGAGGAGGAGGAGGAGGAGGAGGAGGAGGAGGGAGGAGGAGGAGGAGGAGGAGGAGGAGGAGGGAGGAGGAGGAGCGAACGAACCCCAAGGAGGGAGGAGGAGGAGGAGGAGGAGGAGGAGGAGGAGACGGAGAAGGAGGCGGAGGAGGAGGAGGAGGAGGGGGAGGAGGAGGAGGAGGACGACGACAAACACCAGGAGGGGGCGATAACAGTGATTGGCGGCGCGCACAGGGTGCAGGGGGACACACGGGGACGAGTAGGGAAACACAAACCAGGGGCGGGCGAAGAGGAAGATGAGGGAGGAAGGACGGAGAGGAAAGAGTGGACGACGACAAAGAAGAAGAGGAGAGACGCTCGAGCGCCACAGCGGGCCTGGCCACCTCCCCGAACCCCTCCCATAACATGTCGTTGCTCGAGCGCCACAGCTGCCCCGGCCAACTCCCGCAGCATCCATAACATGTGGGTGCTCGAGCGCCGCAGCGGGCCTGGCCAACTCCCGCAGCCTCCCATAACATATGCCGCACCCCACCTCGACGCGAGCGCGATATGATCGCTGCGCCCGCATCCGCTAAAGTCAACGACACTTCGCATATGTCATGTGGGCCTCAAGAAGAAAATCTTTCGGCCTGCTCAAGTGGGGTTTTGACCCCCGTCTCCCCCGCCATCGCGTGAAGCGTTGCCGCCGACTCCTCCATTCGGCCCGCCAGGGGCGCAGTCTGTTGGGCGACGGCAACGCGCGACAGCGCGGATGTCGACCTAGCCCCTCGTGTCTGCAGCGCCCCCAAGCGCAACGATCTTGGCGCACTTCCTTTGAAGGCGCGCATGACGTTCCCCGCCTCTGCACACTGCATGCGGCGGGGAACATCATGCGCGTGCACACGGAAGCACCGCCGACGAACTGACACCCACTGAGAACATCGAGCGAAGCACGAGGACGCGATACCTACAAGAATCTGTGCGGCATGCTACGTGTACTGTGCCACCACCGCCCCAGTGCTGAAGGGCAGAAGGGGTGCAAAACTCTTCATCCCCAGGCCGAACGTGTTTCCCCTTGCATGGAAACGCATGGATCCATTTGGATCCAATTACGTGTTTGCGACAGTCACGTGGATCGAAGTTCCCTGTCTTCTGGATCTAATGTTTGGGCGTGGAAGCTTCGTGGATCCAATTCTTTTCCTCGAATAGATTTATAAGAATAATTAATACAAGGGGCCCACGGGGAAATGGATCCACGGAGCCTTGGACCTGCAGCCCAAGCTGTGATTCTACGGGGGAGGGGTTTCGCTACCGAGAGACACAACACAGGGGGACGAGTAGGGAAACACAAACCAGGGGCGGGCGAAGAGGAAGATGAGGGAGGAAGGACGGAGAGGAAAGAGTGGACGACGACAAAGAAGAAGAGACGCTCGAGCGCCACAGCGGGCCTGGCCATCTCCCCGAACCCCTCACATAACATGTCGTTGCTCGAGCGCCACAGCTGCCCCGGCCAACTCCCGCAGCATCCATAACATGTGGGTGCTCGAGCGCCGCAGCGGGCCTGGCCAACTCCCGCAGCCTCCCATAACATATGCCGCACCCCACCTCGACGCGAGCGCGATATGATCGCTGCGTCCGCATCCGCTAAAGTCAACGACACTTCGCATATGTCATGTGGGCCTCAAGAGGAAAATCTTTCGACCTGCTCAAGTATGAACGGCAAGGCATGAATCTGACAAGGAATGAACGGGAAGCCCCGCTTCTCTGGACTGTCGTGCGCGCGTATGAGTTTGCACCCACATCGAAATTTGTGCACACAGAGTGCCGACACATTGCTGCCCACAAACATCGAGGAGGTTGTTACAATCGCTCGATACACTATATTACGTGGTTGCCTGAGGTTCTCTTGGTAAATGTTGCACGTTGCATGTGAACATTTTTTTGTGTACGTGTGTGTCTGTGTGACCCAGGCCGGCCACGCCCGACTCTTCGCATGACTTTACTTTCTACGCCGCGCTGCCGCGCGCGCGGCCGCGACACCAACAACTGTGCGCGTGTGTGCGCGTGCTTGGGGTTCACAAAGAAAATGAGTCGTGACCAACGTGCCCTGTGACCATACATCATCAGCTTGGAATCAGCCACGCGCCGGAGTGAAACACCTGTGCGCGTGTATGCGGCTGGGTGCCTATGTGCCGCGCGTGCATGTGAGTTTTGCGTATTCTTCTGAACAAAAAAAGACAATCAACAAACAACAAACAAAACAGAAAAAACATCGTCAGTCCCCAAGGGCAGCGACGAGTTAACAACTGAAGCTCGATGCTAGAGTCGTACCGCCTGCTACATCCTCTTGGCATTCGGTCGGGCATGTCCCTCTGCAGGGGGATGTTGGACGAACAGTAAAACCCAGCCTCAAATTATGCAGAAGGTGCCAGACACATGCTCACAGAATGGTCCTCCTACTATTGCTTGACAATGTTTGAAGTATTCCTCCCATAGAGGGACAGGCCCGACTTGACCTTGGCCACGATCGATGGGAAGAAGATGCCCGACAGTGGAGTTTCGAGAGCCTGCCCCCAGAGCGGCAGGCGTGCGGCCCTGGCCCACGCGGCTGCACAGCGGAACCTGCAAAAGATGGGCCGATGTTCCACAGCCACTACCAGATCTAGGAGGGGGAGGAAGAGAAGAAGGAGGAGGAGGAGGAGGAGGAGCTATAGTATGAGGAGGAGGAGGAGGAGCTAAAGTAGAAGAAGGAGGAGGAGGAGGAGCTGAAGCAGCCAAGGACGAGGAGGAGGAGGAGGAGGAGGAGGCGGAGGGCCGATCTTCCACCAGGTGCGCAGCTGAACCTCAACCTGCTGAACCTCAACCATACGGTGGAGGTTTCAGATAAGGACGCATTCGACAAGGAACCCAGGGTCTCGCGACCGGTGGGCGGCCAAACGTGGGCCACCCATGTCGCCTTGAAACAATAACGAATGCGCCAGGGTCTGGACCCCAAGGAGACGTTCAATGCCGCCGCCGTATCTAGGAGGGGGAGGAGGAGGAGAATGAGGAGGAGGAGGAGGAGGAGAAAGAGAAGAAGGAGGAGGAGGCGAAGAGGAGGATGAGGCGGAAGAGGACCTCCTAATCCCCCCTTCTCCCCCGTCCTACACATAGTACGGCCAGAACAAGGCCACAAGAACATCGGACAAGAACATGAGACCCTCCGCGGGCCAAAGTACCCCAAACCATAAGGACGTCGAGGACGCCCTTCCGAGGTGTCCCCGACCTTCACTTCCGTGAAACGTTGCGTAAGTTACGCATCTGTTCGGCCCCAGGCCTTAAAGCCTTAGACCCACGCCTGGATCGCCATCGCAAACCGATGGCTGGTACGGTAACAAAAAAGGAAAGCTGCGCTGTGTTCCTGTGCCCTGGATCTGCCTCCGCGCGTCCGTCGTCATCCACGAGCGCGCGGTTGCTGGAGG